AATTAAATTAATTGAAAATGTATGAGAAAAGCAAAAAGATTTTTTAATAGACTTTTGCAAACAAATGGTTGGGACTTATTTATGTATATAATTAAAAACACTCCCGTAATTTCCTATTAAAAATGTGGACATAAATGAGCACAATTATTTACTTGCTCCTCTAGCTTAAATTCAAATTTTGATAAATATGAAAAGCCAATATCAAATTCTTAATAGTATTATGGGACTTACACTGCCATCTGATATTTATCTTTATAGTAGTCTCGATCGTCTTTAATCTTTAGGTTAGCTTGTTCAAGCAGATTGAGCTTTTCTGTTAGCTCATTTATTTGTGCTAGTAACTCCTCTGTTGGCTGAGACCTTTCTCTTTCATGATGGATTTCGCTTGATTTCAGCTTAATTCCATCAGTAGTAACTCTGGCTGTGGCCGTAGGAGATCCGTCACGAGCATGCGGTGCTTCAGCCTCAAGCTTGGCAACTGAAGTTGGAAGATGCATTAATAAATTAATCTGAATAGGTTAGCTAAAATAAGAAAAGAACATAATTTATGTAAGAGAATTTTTGAAAGCATGTTTGAAAATATGTGAAGGGTGCTAATATTTAAATAGCATTTTTAAAAATTGTAGGAAAGTTTAATTCAGCGTTTAATCTTCGCTGTTCCATACGTATAAAACAAACATTATATGTGATATTGGAAAGCCACTAGCTGCATTAAGCCAAATCAGCAGTATTAGCAAAATTAAAGCTGCTTATAGGGAATTTAAAATGTTTGCCTTCTTGTCTATCAAGATGAGGTAAATGCATCATAACACCATTTTTGTTGGAGAAAAAAAAGTGCAAATGGTTGTCATTCTGAGCCCTGATATAAGCTAGGAAGAGCAAGATTGCGTGGCCTTAGTTTAGGTCGCGGTCATCGATAGCTGTATAGTGTTGAATTTACTTCGTTTTCCTAACTTAGTCAGGGCGACAGGGAGACTCTATGGAATTTATCAAGTCCTGCATCCTCTGTCAAAGAATTCATGATAATTACCAGCATCGGACCAGCGTTTTGGTACATTCCCAGCCGGCATCGTCTGTGAGAGGGAACCATTTATAACGCAAAGTTACAATTTGTCGACTACTTTTAGGCCAAAACGTCTGGGAATGAGCCAAGTCAATGGTCAGATGCTGGAAATTATCCTGAATAGTATAACAGAGGATGCAGGACTAGGTACGTTCTACAAGGTTTCTATATCGCCCCGAACAAGTTGCGAAAACGAAATCAAACATACTATGAGCCCTGATAGTTGTTACGGGAAACTCAACTAACGGATAATAGTACAATTGTCACAGCGACAAGATAATTTTAACTAAGTGCATAAGTAGCCAACCTGAGCTATAATTACCTGTAAGACGTTGGCAAGTATATTTAAATTCAACGGAGTACCCTTCCAGACAATCAGAAACTTGAATAAGGACCCTAGGCGAACTAAAAACTGATAGGTGAACTTTCTCACAATTAAATGGATAGGCCTCACAATGACAGTGAATTTTACTTTGCTTCGGCTCTAATAAGATTTTAAAAATATAAAGTGGACCAAAGTTTCGGCTTCACCCAAGTATAATCAGTATCACCAGCGGAATTTGAAACCGGTTTATCTACATAAAGTAGAGACACAAGT